TACAGTGTGCGCGGCCACCGGCCTCGCTCCTCCTGCGTGTATAGAAGATTGCTGGTCTGTCGGATAACCAACGGGAGTCGCAGCTGCTCAAGAGTACCGGGAAAGCCGTGCTCCCCTGCATGGACAGAGCTGAGAGACTCTGTGCAGTGCCCACCAGAGGATGGGGTCCAAACCCTTGTCAGTAAAGGTGTTTAAATGCCACCACGGTGATGGTGGTGGGAGGGTGAGGTTGAAGGTTTGCACCTGGGCTGGTGCCTGGGTGCGTCAAGGTGAGAATTTGGGGGTTTCTCTGGGGAGGGAGCACCTCACCCCGAGGAGGCGATGTGAACCCACGCACACTCTGCTTGGGGGGCTCCCTGGTCGTGGTTTCAGCAGCACTGCGCTGCTGCCAGGCGAGGGGCAGAGTGGGGGCACCCGGCCCAGGAGCAGGGTACTGCTGTTGCTCGTCTCAGAAGGATGCCACCCATGCAACCAGGAACGTGTTCTGACCATCAAATGTAGGCTGGAAATGGATGTCCAGGTCAGACAGGAGGGGAAGGAGCCGCTTTGACACCCCCAGCTTGTTTTTGTTACAACTGCCGTCAGTCCCACCGGCCTTGCTGCGGGCAGTGGGGACAGCCAGGGGTGCGAACTGTCCCACCGGTGAGCAGGAGGTGTCGGCACATTGCAGGACTGAAGATCTGCTCTGCCACACAGGGTTTTGGGGACCACCAGGTACACACACAGGAGTGGATGGGAGCGTGCATCCGTGGGTCTGTCCATCACTTGCTCCCAGCTTGGCTCTGCTGTAGGCAGGCCCCTCTGAGCCAGTCTGGTTCTTGTTGGAGCTGTGATATGTCCCACCTTGCTGAGCTCAGAGGGACAAACCCACTTGAGAAGGGCTAAGGGATCAACTGATTGCTCTCGCAGAGTTGTGAAAGCATCTCTTCTTCTCCAGCTGCGTGCAGCTTCGGGGGCAGTGAACATTGCCTCTCCCTTCCACAGGCTGTTACTGCTGCTGAGTAAAGGTCCTTCTGTCTTGGCGCTGCTGCTCTGTCCTGAGCACTGTCCATCCGAGTCCGTTCTTTCCAAAGTGCAGCTCCCGGGGTTGGTAGGCAGAGCTGCTGGGTGCGAATCCCAGCCATTCTCTTCTGTCAGGAACTGGTTTTGCTCTCCAGCTCCAGAACTTCCTTCCAGAATGCAAATATGAACAAATACGTGTGCAGGAGTGTGACAGGGAACAATTATTTTCTATCCAGTATCTGAGCCTCAGGGATGTCTTCCAGCCTCTCTGGGTGGCATTTTGAGCTGGTGGTTCTATGCCCTGATGCTGTTCCCCTGTCGCTAGTGGTGGTCCTGCCATAGGGCAGCTCTTGGCACCACAGTGGTCCAGGTCTGGGAGATGCCAATGTTGGGTGGGTGAGTGATCCTGATGCCCTCAATCCCTGGCATGGTGGGTAGCACAGCTGCATCCGAAGCCTTGCTGCAAATGGAGCAGCAAGGGGTAATAAATGGAAGAGCCTGGGGCTCTCAAGGCAAAGGGAAAGATAGTAACTTGGAAATTGTTGTTGCTGAGTGACAAGCCCAGAGCAGCCCCAGTTTGGTGCCCATTCACTGTGGAGCCCCATGGGTGCCCCAGTTCTGTGTGCTGCAGGGCCTGGCTGGGGTAGATGCACACTAGGGTCTTGCTCTGCGAGGTAGGGGTGCAGATGGGACTCGGGGCTTCCCCACGCTACTGTTTCGTGTTAACCTCTCCCAGCTCAGCTTGGGGTGCACTCAGGAGGAGCAGCCAGGTGGGAGCTGGTGGTGCCCTGCTCCTCCTGTGCAAAGCAAAAGACCCTTCTCCATTCCTGTAGCTGTGCTGAAGCCAAGGGAGTATTTAAATTGGATGGGATGCTCGCAAACAAGCAAGATGAATGATGGCTCGTGTTATGCCTCAGATCCTAAAGCCTTACAGAACCCTCCTGTTGAACGTGGCTGGTTCTGTAAGAACATCCCCCTGGACGAGCACGTGCCCCATCACGGGGACCTTGGAGCCCCAGAGCGGTCCCCAACCTCAGCCGCTGCCCCCCCGTGCTCCCCTCCGAGCCCCTTCTCTGTGGAGAGCTCCCTCCCGTGTTTACTGTTGTAAGAAACTTGTTAAAAAGATTGTTTTGTTTGTAAGTAATTCTTCAGCCCTTTGCCACAATATATATCTGTGAATAAGAAAGGGAAATGTTTTTTATGATGGCGAGAAAATTGTATATATTTTAGTTCATCGCAGGTCAGTCAAAATTGCAATGGGATACGTTGGAAAATAATATGTAAATTCCTTGGGTCTTTCCTTTGCACTGCACTAAGTGGGGTAGGGTGGAGGGGATTTAAAGATAAAACTGTTTGTTTATGGAATAGTTTATAGCTGGGAATCTGGAAATCATTTGGAATAGCTTGTAATGCTGGAATAGACACTTCAGCTGCTACTTAGAAACCCTTTTGCATGTGGTTTTTCCAGACTTTTTTTTAGTTACCATACATCAAAGTAAATTCCACAACGCAAAAATAAAGTGTAATTTTGCTGATAGGGCTTTTCCCAGCCATGGTTTTTACCGTGCTGGAGCCTTGGGCTCGCGGGGGGGTTCTTGTCACTAAAGCCCCCATGGCTGTGCTGGAGCTGAAGGATGGCATGGCCGGACTATGGTGGGTGTGTGCTCCTGGGGATGGAGCCTTCCCAGTCCCTGCCACGAACCGTGTGTGCACCCTGAAGCCTGTCGGGTTCCCTTTGTCCCTGGGGCAGCTGCCTGGTACAGTTGTCCCAGGCTCCTGCTGGCAGTGTTCCGGGGGCTCCTCTCCCTCCTGAGCTGAGCCCGCTGCGGGGGGAGAGGAGGATTTTCCATAGCTTTCAGTCACTCCCAAGTCTCCTCTCCTCATCCCTGCACAAAACATCATTCCCAGAGCAAGGAAAGACACTGCACTTATAAAATGGCTGAGGCTGTGCTGGAGGTTTCACCCCAGAGCAGCGCACGAGGTGCTGCTCTGAGCTGTCGGGTCGTTTCATTAACAGTGTTCGTTTTTCCTGCTCTTGGAGTCCCCAGAGCTTTGTCTTTCTTGGTTCAGCTTTCACAGGGTCAGCTGGAAGGCGCTGTAGCAGTGAGCTGAGGTGTTTTACTCAGAGGAGCAGGACATGAGCTTTTGGATGATGATTTGGAAAGATGCTGCTCAGCCAGTTAGCCTTGGTTGAGGTGATGACCCCTGCCTGGATAAATGCTGTTCAGTCTGAGGGGAGCTCTCCAACATGCACCACGTGTGGAACCGCAGGGTTTGGTACCTGGGTGCTCTCCTTGGGTGGTGATCATTGGGCCCTGTGTGGGTCAGGATCATCATCGGGTGCCCATCGCACTGCAGCTGCAGCGCTGGAGCCTGGAACCGATTGATGGCTGCAGGAGCAGGTAAATGCAGTGACCTGCTTCCATGCAGGGTCCTGCTCTGGGGGCATCCCTGGCAGCAGGTGACATGTAACCCTCAGGGGGTGCTTGCAGCCTGGGCCGATGGCTGCCTCGACAGCCGGCTTTGCTGGCTCCATGCCTAAACCTCCCCATGGAGGCTGCACCCACGCCGGGTCTGATGCCTTATAGATAAATGGGACATTTATTCATGGAGCACAGCCACAGCCAGGTGCTGTAACCAGACCCGGAGCAGCACTCCCAGGGGTGTTAACAGGAGGATGGATCTCCAGACTTGGGCAGCACGGCTGGTTCCAGCTGCGCACAGCACCTGCCCCAAGAGGGGATGCGCCAGGCACGGGTTTCTTTCTTTCCTCTGTTATCCCCAGCAGTGGCAGGTGCTGATGTGACCTCCCCATCCACTGGGCTCGCCTGGCGCTGCCCCTGCTCTGAGCAAACTGGGAAAGCTTTCCCAAGCACAAATTCACTGTGGTGCAGGGCTTAGTGCGATGGGACACTGATGGCTCACGCCTGAGGCTGGTCCCATGGTGATGAGCATGGCTGGCTGTCATGTTCCTGCATTACCTAAAACGTTCTCTGTGACCTGGAAAACTGCAGCTGGCGCACGCAAACCACCGTGCTCCTTCATGTCAGAATTAACCTAAGGATTACAGTGCAAAGCCTGAACTGGGGTAGGTTCCCTCCATCAAGGACAACCACCTTTTTCCTGCTCTGGAGTTGCACCAGTGCCCCAGGGACCGCAGTCTGTGCCGCTTTCTGAGGTGTCTGTCCTGATTTTGGGGCTGCTGAATGCCTATTCAGGCTTGTACTGTTTTAGATCTGTTTTGACCCAAAGGTCATGTTTATAATTAGTGCATGCTGATGAAATGGTTCTGGCCTGTCAAACAGAAACACCCCACTGCAAACAGGAGGTTAGATTTGTTTGCATCTCTGTGGTTTGTTTTGTGCAATTAGTCCATGGAGAAGTCTGGAGGTACTGGGGCTCTTGCTTTAAAACTTAGACACTGATTTTATCTTTGGGAGGGAGAGAAATGCTGATGGAGATAGAGGCTCATGCTAGAACAAGGAACCCCTCCACTGCTGTTCAAACCCTTCTCAAGCTGGGGGATTTGGATGCAAGCCCAGATCAGGGGAGCAGTGAGGGCTGTTCCCAGGGTCATGGTGCTGTTGAATGCTGGGGTTCCCCAAAGCACCATCCCTTGGCTGCTGGGGGCTCCCTGGGCCAGGGGCGCTCGATGCTGCTGGGACACGGTGCTCAGCCCCGGCCCCTCCAACCGCCGGCTCCACCCCGACCTCTGCATCCCGAGATACCAGAGCCCTCCGGAGCCGCCTTTGCAGCGTATCCTGCCCAAACAGGCCCTAATTCCAGGGGTGAGTCCTGGGTTGGGGGAACAACAGACCTGCAGGCTGGGAGATCTAAATGAAACGTTTGTTTTCCTGTCCTCTAAATTACACGTTTTTGGTGTTCCCACCCTCACATTGAGCTCCTGGGCTGCTTTAGCAAATGTGTGAATTGAGTTTAGTTCTGCTCTGACAACGTGACTGCTGGGAACGCTGTCAGAGGGTCAGATGGTGCTTTTCTCACCGTGTTTGCTCTCTGGCCTCCAGCTGACGGGTCCCACTGGCCCTGGCTGCGCTGTTCGTTCCCTGCTGGGCACGGAGCCGGGCAGAAAAGTGCTGGTTTCCGCTCTGTTTTGAATTTCTCTCTTCTGCCTGACTTTGTCCTTTGTTGGGAAGCAGCAGAGCCACAGGAAGGGGTAAGAGGGGCGTAAGCCCCCACTTCCCGGCCGCCTGGGCTGGCTCTGCTCGCCTCCGGTGTTGGTTAATGTTTCTGGCAGCAGGGGCCGAAGGGGCAGCTGTGCACGGAAGAGGAGGAGGAGAGCATCGGAGGAAGGCAGGAGCAGGGGCCCCGCGGCAGGGAGAGCCGGGCCGGAGCGCGCCTCGCTGGTGAGTGGGGTGATGGGAACGGCCGCGGGGGTCCGAGCAGCCGCTGCGGTGTCGCGGGGATTCCAAGCTGGAGCTCACAGCTCCATAGGGACAGCGGGAGGTTCGGAGGCCGCCTGCCAGCGAGCGGGGACTCGGTGAGGGGAGCTCTGGGAGCCCCCGACCATGGCTGAGACCCCCTCTGCACCCCGGGAGCAAACCCCGAGGCACATCCGCGGGGACGGGGGTGCCTGCAGGCAGGATCCGACCCCCGTTGCCCCCCAGCAGCTCTTGCACCGCTCTCTGACAGGGACAAAACCGTGCCTTCATTGTGGTCACACAGCTCCTGAATACAAGGGGCAGAAAAGCAGCTCCTGCCGGCGTGAGCGAGCGCAGGCGTTGCGGCGCCCGGAGCATTTCCAAGCTCCTTTTTAAGTGGGGCCCCTCTGAAGGGTGTTTGGAGCTGCCCGCTTGTGCCACCGGGATCCCGTTTCGTGCTGGAGCGGGGTCCCAGGGCCGAGCCCCGGCGCTCGCTCCGTGGCTGGGAGCTGCTCGGCGCCTGGCGCAGCACCCGCGCTGCCACCGAGGTGTCTTTGCAGGACATGGGGTACCTGAGCTGCGCCTGGCGGGCGGCCGCCCCCCGCCTGCCCGCCCCATGGAGGAGCCCCCGCTCCCGCGGCAGCGCCACCGGTCCCACGGCCAGGAAGAGCGTCCCGTACGAGAAGACGCTGCAGGAGGACGGCTCCGGGAGCGGGGAGCCCAGCCGGCCCCCGCCGCACACCGCAGAGGTGGTGGTGGTCGGGGGGGGCAGCCTGGGCTGTCAGACCACCTACCACTTGGCCAAGCAGGGCCTCACCAGCGTGGTGCTGCTGGAGCGGGACCGCCTGACCTCGGGCACCACCTGGCACACGGCCGGTGAGGGGGGGGGCACGGCGGGGTTCAGCGGGCACGGGGATGCTTCGGGATGTGCTGGTGTCCATGGAGTGTCTGTGGCACAGGGTGGCTCTGGAGGTGCTGGAGGAGCTTTCACTGTGATGAATTTCAGGGGCTCTGGGTTTTCATTTGACACAATTTTTTCTCGAGAAAACGTCCCCCAGGTTTTCCTTTTTTTTTTTTAATTTTTCTTGAAGTTTTATATGGCCATAGGGAATAGGAAAAAGGTTATTCCCGGCCTTTTTTTAATTCAACAAGCCAATTGGCTTTTGGAGGTTTTGTCCTTTTGGGGGTCGTCTGCTCCATAAAACCCCCTTTTTCCCATTAATTTAATCCCAGACTGGTTTGGGTTGGTTTGGGTTGGAAGGGATCTTAAAGCTCATCCAGTTCCAACCCCTGCCACGGGCAGGGACCCCTTCCACTGGAGCAGCTTGCTCCAAGCCCCTGTGTCCAACCTGGCCTTGAGCACTGCCAGGGATGGGGCAGCCACAGCTTCTCTGGGCACCCTGTGCCAGCGCCTCAGCACCCTCACAGGGAAGAGCTTCTGCCTAAGAGCTCAGCTCAGTCTCCCCTCGGGCAGGTTCAAGCCATTCCCCTTGGCCTGTCCCTGCAGGCCCTTGTCCAAAGCTCCTCTCCAGGTTTCCTGGACCCTCTCAGTCTCTGGAGCTGCCCTGAGGTCCCCCTGACCCTCCCCTTCTCCCACGGAATACATCAATGATTTGCAGCGCTCCCACATCGCCACGAGATGGAGCGAGAGCCCGTCAGGGCGGCCCGTTCCCCGCGGGCGGGGTGGGGTTCCCTCCGCATCCCACCGGGTGACGGAGGTGTCGGGGCCGCGGTCCCACCCGTGTCCCGTGTCCCCAGGTCTGCTCTGGCAGCTGCGTCCCAGCGACGTGGAAGTGGAGTTGCTGGCACACACGCGGGACGTGGTCAGCCGGGAGCTGCCGGCGGAGACGGGGCTGCACACGGGCTGGGTGCAGAACGGGGGCCTCTTCATCGCCTCCAACAAACAGCGCCTTGATGAGTACAAGAGGCTTATGTCGGTAGGGAGCAGCCCCTCGGTGTGTCCCCCAGCCGGGTGGGATTCTGGGCCAGCCTCCTGGCTCTGTGAGGCTGCTTGAAACAGGCAAAATGCTGGCAAATAGGCAAAATTAAGTCCAGCCGTGGATTTTTACCCCTTCAGATAGTGGCAGCATCATTTCTGCAGCTGCGCAGTCAGCTTGCATTGAATGTGGGACCATATTCCCTGAAATCTGTGCAGCCCATCCCATGTTGGATTTAGGGCTTCCCTTGGGCAGCAACTGTCTCATCTGGGAGATAAACACATCCTAGGGAGTCTCTTCCTCCAGCAGCAAGGGATGAGCAAAGGTTGTGGCTTTGTGTGGCTGCCTGCTTGAGCTCCTGGTTTTCTGTCCGGTTGGCAGCTGGGGAAGGTGTATGGAGTTGAGTCCTACGTCCTGACCCCATCGCAGACCAAGGACCTGTACCCACTGATGAACATCGAGGACCTGTATGGCACGCTGTATGTCCCCAAGGATGGCACCATGGATCCTGCTGGTACCTGCTCGACTCTTGCCAGAGCAGCAGCTGCCAGAGGCGCTACGGTAGTTCCTAATTAGCAGTTAATGCCTGTTGAGCATGGGAGGAGATGTTATCCTCTGCCTTCCCCATCTCCCTCTTTCCTACTGGAGCAGAGCTGCTCCTGCAGCATCAGGTCTTTGCCCAAGAAGAGTGTTGTCCTGTGTGGCTTTGATGATTGTTTGGGTCACAGTGACAACGCTGGCAGGAGCCGTAAGATCCAGGGGAAATGTAGGATGAAAAGAACCTTTAGGAGCAAGGTGAGGCAGTGCCCAGGGCAGGTTCCTTTAGAGAGCAGAGGTTTTAGGGTCAGGTAACACAACCTGCTCCTTAAAGCAGGGACTGCCAGCCTGTCCTTGGTGTGTTGCTTTGCTCATGTGGAGGTAAATAAGCAACACCCTCTGCAAGTGCTGGGGCACAGAGCAGCGGTTTAAGTCCTCAGCTGGGGAGGGGTATGTTGGTACCAGCACTAACAGCAGTAGCTGTTGGAAAGGGCCCTTGCCAGACCACTGCTCAGATTCACCTTTCCACACCTGGGGCCTGGGTATCAGGTGAGCCCATGTCCTGCAGCCCTTGTGATGCTGCCGTGACTCAGCTGCCCTTCCTCTGCCCCAGATCATCGAGAACTGCCCGGTCACCGGCATCCAGGTCAGAGCTGACGATTTCGGGGTGAGGAGGGTGCAGGCGGTGGAGACGGCGCACGGCACCATCCAGACCCCCTGCGTGGTGAACTGTGCAGGTACGGGCCACTCAGCAGCTGGGGACGGGCACTGCAGGGCAGGGGGGGTTTCTGCATCCAGGGGTTCTGCCCCAGCCCCTGTTCCCCCGGGTGTGACCTGCAGCTCCCATGGGGGGCCCAGGGGTGCTCAGCACCGGCTGCTCTCTGCAGGGGTCTGGGCACCAGCGCTGGGCCGCCTGGCAGGGGTGCATGTGCCGCTGGTGGGGATGCACCATGCCTATGTGGTGACCGAGCGCATCGAGGGCATTCAGGTGAGTCCCGCAGGCTGCAGGTCCCTGCTGTGCTCCGGGGCACAGCGCTGGCTGCTGTCCCTGCATGCAGTGGGGCCAGGCGGGGATGACCCCCATGGATCCCCAAACCTGTGGGAACCACCCAAAATCCTGCCTGCGACACAGGCTGGGCTCTGCACCCAGGAAAGTGCACACCCAGCAGCTTCTGCTCCTAGCAGGACTATTGCGCTGCCCGTAATAGAGTCACATTTAGTACTTAACAACGTTATGATGAGCAGGATAATTGCCTCTTTTCTTTTTCAGTCTCCGTAGCATTGTTATCAGGTCCCTGGTGTGTCTGCTCTCTGATGGCAGCATTCATAAAGATGCCAAACACTTTCTGAATGAGCCGCAGTCCCTGGCAGGCAGAGGTGAAGTTCTCTGCATTTCGAAGCTGTCCCAAGAAGTCTGTTCCTGTTCTTTGGCTATGGAGAATTGTTGAGGAGCCAAAGGGCACTTCATTCACTCAGGCACCAGGGCTTTGAGGGTAACGCATTCAGTTCCCATCCTTCCGACACAGTCTGTGTCTGACTTTTCAGTCCAAGCTGCCTCATTTTACAAAGTGCTGGTGCCTGTGTTGACATTTGCACCCAGTCACTTGCTGTGACAGTCACGGTGAGAAGGACTTTTTACAGTCACGGTGAGAAGGACTTTGCAGAGAAGAGGCTGCATATTGCAGACCCCAGCACCTCCTGCTCAACCCACTTAATCCCATTTGTCGACATGACTCGCAGCAGGCCTTACACCAGTATTTCCACATTATCTGAGTGCTTCTCTATCCATTATTCACAAGAACAAATCCCTGATTCTTTGCGCGCTGCTGCCCTCGTGTTTGCTGCTGCAGCCTTTGCAGAGCTGGGGGGCAGAGCACTGATGCTTCCCAGCTGGGATCAACCAAAGGGGCTCCCGCTCCCCCTGAGCATTCCCAGCACTGTGGGTGCCATGGAGGAGCAGCTGCTGCCCTGTGCCGGGGCCACAGCACATCTCCTGCCCGCAGTGCTGTGGTTCAACAGCTCCTGATGAGGCAGGATTTGTGCAAGACCTGGCTTGAGCTCGGGTGCCTGGCTAAGCCGCTTTGTCCATGGCTTGGCCAGGTTTTGACCTGGGTGCCTTCTTCCTGGGACAATGCGGGCATCCAGATTTCAGGACTGAGGGAACCTCTGCAGAGCCACCGCTGCTCCCATCCTTGGCATGTCATGGCCCCAGGTCCGGACCCTCTGCCCCAGAGCCCAGCTCGTCCCGCTGGGTGCAGTGGGTGATGTTGGGGTCTCCCTGCGGCTCTCGGCCCCTCTCACCCCTCTGCTCCCCCTCCCTGTTTCTCAGAACATGCCAAACGTTCGCGATCACGATGCCTCGGTCTATCTCCGTCTCCAAGGCGATGCCCTGTCTGTGGGTGGATATGAGTCAAACCCCATCTTCTGGGAGGAGGTGAGCTGTGCCGGGAGGTTTTCCAGGGGAGCGAGGCAGGTTTCCAGGGAGCCCACCTCGGAGGGTGTGCGCAGGCGTGTGTGCCTCAGCCCTGGCGCCTGCGGTACCATGCGTGGGAGAGCATCTCGCCTTTGGGTCTGGGGTGGCAGGGATATGAGATGCAGAGGCAGCAGGAATGAGATGCAAAGGCTGGGCTGGGGAGATGCAGAGGCCACCATTTGGTCCCTGCCCTGCTGCATCATCCCTTACCCAGGTGTCTCAATTTGGGCTCACCGCAGACCTTCGGCTTGTCTGGGCTGTTCACAAAAACCCAAAGAAACCAGAGCCTGCAAAGCAGCCTCGATTTCCTCCAGTCTCCAAGGCTGCCAGAGACAAGAGGTTCTTAGGCCATCAGCTGTGCTCTAGTTTGTGTCCTGACTCCTGTTTCCCATCTTCAGGTGTCTGAAAAATTTGCTTTTGGCCTCTTTGACCTGGACTGGGATGTTTTCATGAAACACATCGAAGGTGCCATCAACAGAGTTCCAGTGCTGGAGAAAACGGGCATTAAATCCACTGTCTGTGGGCCAGGTAATGGAGCTGCAGTGGCATCAGGGTGGCTGCATTGCTGCAAGGATCCTGCTGGAGGCAAAGGGGGAACTTCATAACCTGGGGAGAAGACAAATGAAGGCCGAGTGGCTGTGGCCTGGCTGCAGTGGTGTCATCTCCCGAGGGGGGGCAGCAAGATGGGAATATTCTTTCCGCTCTGCTCTTGCCTTCTGGGAAACTGCTGGGCATTGCTGGGTGGGAGATGCCGTCCCTCCTTCCTTTCACATGGATGGACGAACCCTGTGTAACAGGGAGGAGGATTGCACACCTCTTCCAGGGCTCTGCCTTGTCCCTCCTAGCTGGGATTTGCACAGGGATCATGGTTGAAAACCCTGTAGGGAGCAGCAGCTGCAGCATGAGACGTGGTTAGTGCAGGGGCCTTGGGCAACCTCAGCAGCCATCTCTCAGCTGAATAAAGTAGCTCAGATTCATGGAACTTCCCATCAGAAATCAATGAGGGTGACAGACAGTCATCATCATGAAATAGAGCCCAGCTGCTGAAAAGGCAACAAACAGGTCAGTGCAGCCCCCTTCACTGGGGGACTGGGAGCTATAAAGAGGCTGCTTCAGCCACTGCAGTACCTCACGCGCTTCTAGCTTAGGATTCATTCTGCTGCACAGGTTTTTAGTCTTAACCCTATCACGAAGATGCTCTCCTCAGTGCTGGTGTGCAGTGAGTGGGGGGCACGGCTACCCTGAGCCCCGGGTGCTCACCCTGCAGGGACAGGTGGTGCAGTGCTGCAGAGGAGCTGCTGTTTGAGTGTCCCCAGAGCGCCTGTCCTGGCACATCCCCTCTGTCTTGCAGAGTCGTTCACAGCCGACCACAAGCCGCTCATGGGGGAAGCCCCAGAAGTCCGAGGGTTCTTCCTTGGCTGTGGCTTTAACAGTGCTGGTAAGAGAAAGTTGCAGGGATCCCACTTTGGGCATCCCTGTGGGCATCATATTCCTGGCAGAGCCTGGTACCCGCAGCTGAGTTGGCCTCCTGGCCTCAGCTTGGTCCTTGCTTCTTCCCCCAGGGATGATGCTGGGAGGTGGCTGCGGGCAGGAGCTGGCTCACTGGATCATCCATGGGCGGCCAGAGAAGGACATGTATGGCTACGACATCAGGCAGGTCACCCCAGCTGCCCCATGTCCTGGGTGCTCCATCGCCCATGTCCCTTGTCCTTGGGTGGTCCCTGGGGATGGGGTTCGAGGATGGATGCTGGCATTAGGAGTGGGTGTCTGGGCAGCATCTGTGCCGCAGCCTGTGTCCTCCAAGGAGCTGGAATCAATTATGCTCAATGGCTTTAATGAATTTACACGTGGGGTTTATCTCATTTGCCTCATTCCGCTTCTATGCAAACAGCTTCCGTCAGACAGGAGGAGATTGCAGTGATGGGAAAGGACAGGGTAATTACATTTGGGTTTTGTTGTTGTTCAATTAGCACTGTGCCTAATCCTCTAAGTTAATAATCGGGGGTGATAATTTCAATAGGAGAAAAATTAGCTCACCCCCCCAGCACGACAGAGCTTTGCTGTACAGATGTTGGCTCCGTAATTGCTTTTGACTTGCTTGATTGTACTTGATTGGGTTTGGGCTTTCTTACAGGGCTGCTAGAAACAGCAACCACCTTGTCAGGGACAAAGCCTTTAAAATCATACTGCTTGAGTGGCAAAGCTGGTAAACACCCCATTGACTCAGACTGGGAGGAGAGGGGAGTCAGTGCTGGAGCCCACAGAAATCAGCAGGAGATGCCTGCCCTTGTGTCTGGATCAGCCAAGCATCCCCATATCCCATCTGCCCCATCATCAGGCTGGTGTCAGTCCCGGTTTTGCTTTCGGTGGTGATTACTAAGCTCCTCTTTAAGTAACTCCCTTTTCTGCACATTTAAATATTTATCCTCTCAAAACACCCGCTTGTAAATATTTCATCTGCAGCTGCTGCTCCTCTTGTCGCTGTCAGCAGCTCAGCTCATCGCAAAGGGGCTGGGGCTGACAGGGCAGATGGCATCCGGGGTTGCTCTGGTCATGGCTTTGGAAGCATCCCTCGTGCTGCCACAGTGCTCTCCCTGGTGCCTCTGCTCTGCACCCAAGCAGGGGGGGAGGCTGAAAGTGCTGTTTTAAAAGGCCCTAGAGATGGCTTCTGTCTTGCCTTGGCCAGCTCCAGCCTCCCTCTCTCCAGCCCTGGGAAAGATGCCACTGGTGCCTGGGGCTGCTCTCCATGAGTTATAGGTCTCTGGTAATAACAACCTGAGTGTGTGCTGAGCTGGCACATTCTCTCAAGGAGCTTTTCTGTTTGAAAGATGAAAATATGTCAAAACAGATTTAAAATGCTTTGGGTTTTATTTATATTTCAACCTAAGGAGAATTGGATGAAAAACGTAAGGAAAGTCCAAGGCTCTTTCTCTGGTCAGGGCTGGGTTTAAGCCTGGCTCTGTGTGAGCTGCTCTCTGGGGCCAGCCCCATGCTGAAGTGGAGCAGAGCTAACATCAAATTTCCTCTTTTTCTGTTTCCCATGCCCCAGCAGGGCCGGTTTCTGCTCCCGATTGCTCTGGGGTTGATGTGCCTGGAGCAGGGCTGGGGAGCCCAGTGGGGGCCGGCTCCGAGGGGCAGCGCTGCGGCATGGGCAGTGCTGTGGATGGGCAGCACCCAGCCCCTGCGGTTCCTCTGCTCTCCCAGCCACGGCCAGGGCGCAGGAACTGCTGCTTTACACCACAGCAGCTCCGTCCCCATGCGGGTCTGGCCACGAGGGCCGTGCTGAGGAGGCAGCCTGGAGCTGGTGGGCTCATCCGGACCTCTCCCTGCCTCCAGGAGGTTTCACCGCTCCCTCACCAACAACAACCGCTGGATCCGGGAGCGGAGCCACGAGTCCTACGCCAAGAACTACTCTGTGGTCTTCCCCCATGACGAGCCGCTGGCGGGGCGCAACGTGAGGAAGGACCCACTGCACGAGGTAGGACATGGACCCCAACCCGGGTGCTGTGCAAGCAGTGATGGGAGACTCTGCAGCATAAAAGAGGCGGCCAGGAGAGGCTGCAGCCGTATCGCTCAGAGATATTCCATTCACTGCCTGTCTGGTGCTGAGGGCTGTGGGATGAGGGTGCCCCCCACTCACAGTGCGGAGCGAGGCTGGGCTGTGCGAAGCGCGGAGCAGCAGTGCCTCTGCAGGGACCATTTGCTGGCACCCTCTGGGTCTGGGCTGGTTTTGCTCCCTGGAGCCGCCAGCCAGGGCTGGCTCCTGCTCTGCCTCCGCCAGCCGCTTCCTGGCGCACGCCTCTGTAGGTGAATGCTTTCGAGATGCAGCACTGGAGACAAAACCTCCCATTTCCAGTGTTCCCCTGCAGCGGCAGTGCTGCAGCTGCACAGTCCAGAGCCCCCCAAGCACTCATCACTCCCGAGATGCTGGGGCTGACCTGGGGCTGGTGCCTTGTCCCACATCCCCTGGCAAGGAGCAGCCTCTTTCCTCAAGCCCATTCCTGCTTGTCACCAGTTCACACCCCCGATGGAGAGCAGAGGCTCCAGCAGCAGAGCAGACATCCCTCCTGCTGGCCCCCGGTGTTTGCTTGACAGCTCAGTTGTTTTCTGACACTGAGGATGCAATTTATTTCATAATAGCCTGTCTAATAAGCAATGCCCATTTGACTGACAGCCTGGTATTTATACATGCAGCTCCAGAACATGTGCTGTGTTTTATAAATAGGCACTGAATCACTTCTGAAACGTTCAACAAAACCTATTCTTTTCCGAACAGAGGCACCAAACAAAAATATCTTAATGGATCCCTAATTAATTGTGTGCAGAGAGATTTTCCTGAGAGCACAGAGCAGGGATGAGAAGGTTGATGTATAAATCTTAACTATTACTGTATAATCGCTCTTGTAAACACTGGGGAGAGTCTTCTGCTCTGGATTTAGCATCTCGGTCAGTAATGCCTGCACTGTGTGCTCTGGTGAGGTGCACGGCTGAGCCCCATCCTGGCTGTTGAGGCAAACACCTTCCTGGGGAGAAAAAACCCAGGCAATTCGCAGGCAGTTTGGGTTTGCCACTGTTTTGAAAGGCAAACTGCAGAGCTGATTGTGGCTGCTGATAGCCAAAGCCAAGGGGTCACAAGTCAGGTCTTGGGGAGGGCAGGCTGGGCCCTCAAAGAGCAGGGATAAGGCTTTTTTTAACCCTTTGTTCCCATTTCTCTGGCTTTACTCTTGTAGGAGCTGCTGCGGCAGGGCTGCGTTTTCCAGGAGCGGCATGGCTGGGAGAGGCCTGGCTGGTTCAGCCCCAGGGGCGCAGCCCCGGTGAGCACAGCGTGCAGTTCAGGGTGTTCATGGCACACGTGTTTGGGGGTATTTGTGGCCTGTGTTCAACCTGGAGGGTGCTGGCTGTTCGTGGCATGTGTAGGATGTGTCCTGTATGGGCAGGGTGTGTGGTGTGCTGCAAGCAGTGCCATGTCCCCAGAACAGGTCCAGAAAAGCTGTTGGGCTTTAATTCAGTGTAACAGCGGTGAGAGGGAGATCCGTGTGTGCACAGTGTGTGCGTCCGAGTGTTCCTCCACAACAGACAGCATCTGCCTGCAACACCCCCAGAGGAAAGGCACTGATCCCACTTCTGTGTATTGAGAAGAGCAGTGGGCAGGGATGCCAGGGAGGGGACCCTTTGCCATGGGCAGGGATGCCGGGGACGGGACCCATCACCATGGGCAGGGATGCCGGGGACGGGACCCTTTGCCATGGGCAGGTGCAGCACAGGCCTGTTCCTCTGCTGGCATAGGGTGCATGTGATTTGAGCAGCCCCTTGGCTTCAGCCTCACATCAGCTTCCTCACTGCCCCCATCCTCCCTTTCCCCCAGGTCCTGGATTACGACTACTACGGTGCATACGGCCGGGAGCGCCATAAGGACTACACCTACAACCAGCTGCTGGGGGACGAGTACACCTTTGACTTCCCCCCCCACCATGGCATTGTAAGTGCAGGGAGGAAGCCAAAACCGCTGGGCGCGTCTGGAGCCGGGGTTTAGAGGCAGCAGAACCCCTGCCACAGCGCTGCCTTAGGTGGAGTTGGTGAGGCGCAGGGGGAGGGAAGCAGCAAGCTTTGCCCAAAACTGGGGAAAATGTTCCAAAAAGATTGAGAGAGGTGCACGGCCCCTGCTTGGAAACCTCAGCGGAGAGGCTGTGGGAATTTCACTGCTGCTTCCCTGAATTAATGAGTTGCAACTAGCTCTGGGGGAAAACCCCATGAGCTAAAGTTTAACTGGTGCTATTGATAACTGTCACTGTGTAAGTGAGGTAAGGAGTGGGATCTTTGCATACAGGATGGCCTCTCAAGCTTGCTCCGTTTAAAACCTGGTTTTCCAGGCTTGTTTTGGAGCTGCACAGCCTTTGAAGGCACTGGGCGAGTGCCTGGTCTTAATGTGCATCTTTTAACGTGCATCTCCTCTCGAGGAGTGAGGACGTGTCCCAGTTGCAGCAGCGTTTGCTCTAACTGCAGATCAGGACCGAATGCTTAACGTGCAGAAATGCCCTGGCGCTCTTCGACATGTCTTACTTTGGGAAATTCTACCTCGTTGGTCCTGAAGCAACAAAAGCGGCAAACTGGCTGTTCACTGCTGATGTGAGCAAAGCACCAGGTACCGGCGCTGCCCCGGGAGGTCCCATCCCACCCCAAACCAACCCTAACTGGCTTCCCTTTCAAATGCTGTATTTCAGAGGGCATGGAAGGGTGTGGAAGTGACTGCTTTCCTCACGTTCCCCAGAGGCAGGATTCTGCTCTCATTTGCACAGGGGCAACATGCTCTGAGCTGGGGGGTGAAGGGTGGGGGGTGTCTGTCCCTCTGGCTCCAGCTGTGGCTCACAACTGGAGATGTGATGCATGGAGTAAATCAAGTACAACCCTCTGCAGCTGCGGTTTGCACAGGGAGAAGCTGTCCTCGTCTCTGGGGCTGGGCAGCAGCTTATGGCATTTCTAAGGATGTAGCTTCAGCTCCTCATGCAAGCCCCAAGGGGAAAGGGCATCTCTCCTCTCCCCCTCCTGGTGCTGGGACATTCAGGGTCGGTCAGGGCGTGCCCGTGAGTGGCAGCCGATGTAGGATGAGCACAAACCTTCCTCTCCCGTGGCTCTGTTGCGGGGCTGGCTGATGGCAGCGGTGCCGGTCTCTTCCCGCAGGCTCCACCGTGTACACCTGCATGCTGAACCGGCGCGGCGGCGTGGAGAGCGACCTGACCGTCAGCCGCATCAGCCCCGGGGCCCCGGCCTCCCCCCTGGCCCCCGCCTTCGAAGGTAAAAGCCCTGCTCAGGGGGATGCTGGAGGCGGGTGTGTTTCTGCACCGCTGTGGGGTGGGATGGCTGCCTGGTGTTATGCACCTGCAGCTCAGCTCCCAGCCTTCCACAGAGACCTCTCCAGTCCCAGCAGCCGCGGTGGCAGGCTCGGTCCAGCATCTCCTCATCCCCGCCACACTCGGGGTGATCACATTTGCCTAATGGCAGCTGCCTGCTTCTCCCACCTCTGCCTCTTGGTCCCTGTAACCAGATTATCCCCCTTGTCCCCGAGGCCCTGCTCTGCTCATCGGTGTTATTGGGTTTGTTCAGCCCTGGCTGGCAGCTCTGACCTCTCCCCCACGTCCTTATCAGCTGCAATAAAGAGGAATTGAAGCAGAGCAGAGCAGCCAGCCCAGAGGGCAGAAATGGCATTAGGCAGCAGCAGCAGAGGAGGAGGAGGGTGCTGAGCTCAGCTCCAACAGCCATCAAGAGAGGTTCTCACTCAGGTGGCCACAGGGCCCTGTCCCCATGCACCGGCACCTTCAGATTTGCTGCTTGGAAGGGTCCAGCCCAGCAGCGGGTGCAGCCCCAGGGCTGGGGAGGTGCAGGGGTGACCTCAGTGTCTTCACCCTGGAGTGGTTGGGTACTGGTGAGCAATTCCCTCCCCATGAGAGAACCCCACATCGCTCTTGTCTGGGCGCTGGTGGGGGCCGAGGGTGGTGGAAGCGGATGGCAGAGCTGCAGGTCTGTCGGGTGATGGAGGAGTTTAATTGCAGCAAAGTCTATTTTTCCAGTTACAGTGGGTGGCTGCACTTGCTGTCATTGTGACAGGCCATCAGAGAGAAACTCTGTATTGGCAGGAGAGACAGAGGGAAGATTGATTCCATAGTAATCAGCTCTCAAACTCCATCCCTGGGGATTTTTCCACCCAGGATTACTGATGAGATGAAATTCCTCCTCATACACAGAGCAGCCCCTGCACTGGTTATGGCCCAGTCGCTGCTGCCCTCTCTGCTCCCACGGGCATTTCCCAGCTCCCTCCACGCTTTGGCTTCCATTCTGTACTGGGACAAAAGAACGGATGCTTTTGCTCTTGGTCTCAAGGGACAAAGAGTTTTTTCCCTTCCCGTGCTTCTCAGACACACAGAGGCACCTCCAGGGCTCAGACAGCATCTTTTACCTTTTCTTCTTCCAGGCTTTAATGGTCACTTGTTTTTCACTGTGCTGAGTCCCACAAAAGGCAGCATGGACGCTAGCAGAGCCCAAAGCCCTCCTTTGCCCCAGCGCTATTTAACCCCCCTTTCACGGCAGTCCTCCCAGGCTGTGCAAGTGAGAGGGGCTCAGGGATGCAGCCTCTGGAGAGCAAAACCAGCCCTGAGCTGAGCTGGGCATCACCCCCAGCCCCACGTTCTCAAGCCTGAAAGGCTTCCGGGCGGGTGTCTTCCAGGGGACGGCTACTACCTGGCTATCGGCGGGGCTGTGGCTCAGCACAACTGGTCACACATCACTGCTGTGCTGCAGGACATGAAGCTCCAGTGCAAGCTCCTCGACTGCTCAGAGGAGCTGGGCATGATGAGCATCCAGGGCCCCCTCAGGTGAGGAGTGTTGTGGGCCCTTCCTTGCACCCTGACCATGGAGAGTGGGAGGGATGGACGGAAGGATGCAGGGATGGGTAGAGGGATGTCTCAGGTGGAGGTACCTGTGTCAGGCAGGGGTGGGTGTGAGTCCCGTGATGACAGGCAATGCTCTGTCTGGAAAAACACTCCCTTTGCCTGGGAATTGGCATTTCCTTTGAGGCTCTCTCAGCACAATGTCACCCACGTCAGCTCTGCTCTGGGGGGACACCTTTGGCTTGCCAACAAGACAAGAAAGCAGGTTTAGTGACAGCCCTCGGAGCAGGCTGGGAGCTGCATCCATCACCACGGCTGTTTGCTCTTTCCCTACAGCCGCGTTGTCCTCCAGGAGGTGCTGGACACGGACCTCAGCAACGAGGCTTTTCCCTTCTCCACGCACAAGCTCGTCACGGCCGCAGGGTGCACGGTAGGATGGGGATGGCCCTTGAGCTGCCCAGGAGCTCTGTTTGCTGGTGCCCACTGCTAGCCTGAGCATCCTGCTGGGGGGCTGCCTGCCTCCACAGGGCCCAGGGGGCAGCCAGGGGGTTTTGTTGGGGTTTGTGGTTAGAAAAGGCCAAAAGCCATGGTGGGAGCAGGGCTTTCCCCCAGTTGCCTGCCTGGTGCCCCCCCGCTCCCCCAGCCACCCCGTGGTGTCCAAGCCCAGGCTCAGCTCAGGGAAGGGGCCTGGTGACTTACGGCTTTGCAGTGACGTTGGAGGGACCAGAGACGCCTCTCACAGACCAGGGGTCAGCTCTGGTGATGGAGAAATTTCTCTGACACTCTGGAAACTTTCTTCCTAAGAACACAGGGGCGATGTGAAGTGAAGCACGTCAGGTACTGACAGTGAGGGCTGGGCAGCCTGTGGAGCCGCTGTATTTGATCACAGGAGAAGTCTGACAGCCTTAAGCTTCCTGTGCAAGCACAGATCATCCTGCATCTGCCCAGACTTCAGGCTCATGTCAGTGGTTATGCAAGAAAAGCACAGAAATGCTAATGCTCCATGCTGACACCTCGGGCTAAGCTCCTCAGAGCTGGAGCAAGGGGATGGAAGCTCTTTGGGGTGATGGTGTAAAGCAGCACCACTGTCAGCACGTGAGCCTGGGAACAGTCAAGGAAGGGGGGGATGCTGCTGCCTCCTGCCCCGCTATCAAGGCTTCTTGATTTGTGAGTATGAGCCTAGTGAGGGTTTAGAGTGGTTTAACTAAGACACAGGTTTTGCCCAAGTCACATTGATCTTCCAAACCATCCCATGAGTGTGCCCTGTGGTCCAGGTGCCAAAACCCCACAGTGTGACCAGTGTCACCCAATCTACTATTGCAGGTTGTCCAACACATTGCATTTCAGCCTCTGCCAGTGAGCTGTAACCCTCCCCACTCATGCCTTCAGCAAGCTGGTAACATCCCATAATAACCTCCTGATTCCCTGGGAAAGGTGTTTGAATGCTCCCTTTTCCGGAGCGTGATCAGTTTATTTGCATTTCACTTGAAGTTTATCCTAAATAATCCAGCTGGACCTCGCTGTAGACATCTTGTGGGTGCTCTGGAGTGTGAATGCCCTGAGAAGAGGAGAGCAGACCGAGGGGCGTGTGAGGGCACTGCACTGGGGGGTCCCTGCCTGCTGCTGGGCCACCCTTTGGGAGCAGCCCCACTGCACGGGGAGCACAGCAGAGTCCATCCCACTCCGCCATCAGGGGGTTCTCAGGACAGTGAGCGGCGCCTTCCTGACATTATTGCTTTCCGGAGGCATTAAACTGAGCAGAGCATCTTTAAAAAGTTATCAGTGAGATTTTCATGCATTAACTCAGTAGTGGAACAAAATCAGCTGGAGTGAAAGGAGAGCTCCAGCAGAGCTAATGACTCTGGAAATTACCAACTGGTTTGTGAGTTTATATATAGCGACTCTCATTGTATTGAGCAGCAGCGAAAGGTCTCCCTTTGAATTTCACTGCTGGATACAGGGTGAAGTTCAGGTTTTCATTTTCTAGATACTTAAAATGCTTTTGAATTGCTGCTCAAAAGCCCAGGAATTGATGCTATTGAATAGCTCCGCTTGAAATCCAACAGAAAAACCTGTTCCCAGGGGAATGCAGCAGGAGGCCGGCAGGAGCGGCTGAGCCCAGCCCTCAGCATCCTCCTTGGCCTCTGTGGTGGGATTCGCATTCCTGCTTGGGGTGCACACATGGGGCACCCCAACCCAGCCTGGCAATGTTAATGACTGGCACCCCAGTTTTCCCAAGGATTCCTGTTTTCTCTGGAGCCCTGCTCCGCCTTGCCGCTCTCGGTGGGGTGCTCGGAGCAGAGTGGGTTGAGGCAGCTTCTCCCTGGAGTAACTTGCTCCTGAAAGTAAAGCGCACTTCAGGCAGAGCCCTGGCTGTGAGCCGCAGGCAGGGCCAATGAGCCAGGGAGGAGCCTGTCAATCCCAGAGCATCTCCTGCCGGGATGAGGATGGCAGCCGGCTGCAGCGCCTTCAGCACTGGCTGCTCCCTAATTCGATGACACCTTTGTATGGAGTGAAAAGCTCCTTCCTGCCCCTTGTGCCTGTGCACCTCGCAAAGCGGTTGCCAGCCTTTGTGCTTCGCTGTGGGGACCAACGGGTGGCTCACAGCTTGTAAGGAGGCTCAGAGTAAATTCCCCATCCCTGTGGCATTCCTTCCTCCTCTCCACTTCCACTGTAAAGGTTGAGGCATCTTAAAACCTGCCCTAAATTCTGCTCGAGGACGTTACTTCTGCAGCACTGGTAAAGCCTGTGGGTGCTGGGGAAGGCAAAGATGGGTTTGGGTTCTCAGCCAGTGCCTGTGGTCATCCTCACAACAGGGAGGCTGGGCAGCCCTTTGGTACTTCCCATGCCTGCCACTGCCTGCTGTTGTTTGTACCTGGGGTTAGAGAGCAGAGCTGACACCAGCTCCTGGTTGCAGTAAGAGCTCAGCAAAGGGCAAGATGCAGGCTCTGCCCCAGAGACACCCAGAGCCAGTGTGGGCTGGACAGAACCAACCTGGAAGCCTGTTCCTAGATGGAAACTGCTTTGCTAGGTCTGCAGGTCATAATCTAGTGTGAAGCTTGAGTTACTCTCTTTCCCAAAGTGAGGCATTGCATTTGCAGTTGGTGTGCATCCGAAGGGATGATCCACAGGGGTGGAGAAATCCAAAGGAATGCAGCAGAGGGAAACACAGCTCAGACTCAAAGGCCATCTCCAGGGAAGGTGCCTGAGCTGGGGTGGCCCCAAGTGGCCTGGAAAGCTTTGGAGATGCAGACTGTTTCAGGAGGGACAACAGGAGGGTGCAGTCAAGCATGGTGAGAAGGGGGATGAGCACAGGCAGGGCGATCTGAGCACGGCCCAGAGGTCTGCAGGCAGGCAGGTCGGTCTCCCTCGATGAGGCTTCCCCCGAGGAGCACCGAGTCCCCTGTGCTGATCTGCTCATTCCTCTTCATAGCTTCAAGCACTGAGTCCCCTGTGCTGATCTGCTCATTCCTCCTTGGAGCTTCAAGCACTGAGTCCCCTGTGCTGATCTGCTCATTCCTCTTCATAGCTTCAAGCACTGAGTCCCCTGTGCTGATCTGCTCATTCCTCCTTGGAGCTTCAAGCACTGAGTCCCCTGTGCTGATCTGCTCATTCCTCTTTGGAGCTTCAAGCTTTTATGGAGCTGATTTGGCAGCAGAGAAACACTTTGGGACACAGCCTCCACTGGGGGGACCCTGAGCATCCCCCCAGGGTGAGCGGTGCAGGGTGGGAGTGCAGGGCCTTTGGGTGCTCTGCTCTGAGAACACCACCCCAAGTGAGGTCATCCCCAGAGAACAGCAGCCACAAAGTACCCCACAGCAGGACAGTCCTGCTGGGGATTGGCTTACCCCTCTGATGGGCTGATGTGGGGAGATGCAGGGCTGTGGGTGCACACAGGCTTTCTTCTGGCATTGATGGATCAGTAGAGGGAGACAAAACCTGGCTGGAGGTGGAGCATCACAGCTAATCCCAGCCTGGGTGGAGGTAGAGCATCACCTCTAACCCCAGCCCATGTGGAGGTGGAGCATCACAGCTAACCCCAGCCCAGGTAGAAGTAGACCACCGCAGCTAACCCCAGCCCTCTGGCTCTGGCAGCCCTGGGATCAGTAGCCAGAGGATGCTGAACACAGCCACCTCCCCCCGCAGGCCATTCCTGCTGGTTACTGGGAAGAGTTGGGTTTGAGGTGCCAAGTTCAGGCAGTCAGAGCTGAGGAGCTCAGGGAGAGGCCGTCCCGCAGAGCAGGGTGCTCCTGGACAAGCCGCTGTTCCTCCGCGGTGGCAGCGTGCGGCTCGGCAGCCTCTCCGTGCTGCACAGCTCGCCCCCATCGCAGCAGCGCTGACCTCTTGCCTTTCGCAGGTCCGTGCCATGCGGCTGTCGTTCGTCGGGGAGCTGGGCTGGGAGCTGCACGTGCCCCGGGCAGACTGCGTGAAGGTTTACCAGGCGGTGATGCAGGCGGGGGCCCGGCACGGCATTGCCAACGCTGGCTACAGGGCCATCGACAGCCTCAGCATCGAGAAAGGTGTCTTGGTTTCCTTGCAGCAGTGCTCACTGCTTTGCCCCTGGCCAAGGACCAGAGGGGCCTTTCCCAGCTTCAAGGGTGGGTTGGTGTGAGACCAGAGCTCTGGTAGCTACTGGCAAGGATGCTACTGGTCCCAGTGCTCCTTGCTGAGAGTTCACCAGTATGGGCTCCTCTTGAGGTTGCTTTGTCAATGGCCAAGGGAATTGAGGGCCACAGGGGTGTCCAACAGGCAGGGGTGATGTCTTGATCGCCTGATGCTGCTCACCCTGGTCTTGCTGCCATGGCAGGGAGAGCCTGTGGACCTGGGCTTGCTGCCATGGCAGGGAGAGGCTGTGGACCCATGCTTGCTCTCTGCAGGGTACAGGCACTGGCACGCAGACCTGCGCCCCGACGATACCCCGCTGGAAGCAGGCTTAGCCTTCACCTGCAAGCTCAAGTCCAGCATCCCCTTCCTGGGCCGGGAGGCTGTGGAGGCTCAGAAAGCCAAGGGCATCTTCCGCCGGCTTGTCTGCTTCACCACCGAGGAGTGAGTACCACTGGGTGCCCCAGGATGAGCACCTTCAGCTATCCCCATTCACCCGGTGCCTGGGCACACATGTGGAGCTCTGCTGCAGGCTGGCTCAGCTGCTTTCCACGCTCTAATTCTGTCTCTAATTTAAATCCCACCGCAAATTCCCTGCCGGATGTTTAACGGGAGCTGGAAGCAGTGTGACAGGGAGTGGGTTTATCTTGTTTCACCCACATCAACAGGAGGTTTTGCAAGTCGGGCTGGGATCAGTGCAGGGAGGTTCATGAACCCGTGGGCATTGGGAGCCCTGGCATGCTGGGTGCGGGCTCCCCAGATCCCTGTGCTCCATGGGGTCCTGACATGGGGTTTGCTGACGGCAGCTCTGCCCTCTCCTTGCAGGAAGGTGCCGATGTTCGGCCTGGAGGCGGTCTGGCGCAATGGGGAGGTGGTCGGCCACATCCGGCGGGCAGACTTCGGATTTGCCATTGACAAAACCATCGCCTACGGCTACATCCGTGACCCGGCGGGGGGCCCGGTGAGTGCACACCCCAGGAGGACGTAGCACGGGTTTGGATTTGAAGGCACCCGCACAAGCCCATTGGATGCCAAGGGATGCTGTGGCCCGGCAGCAGGGTCGGTCTCCAGCCCAAGTGCTGCTCAGTTAATTGCAGCCGAGTAATTGCAGAGGTGAATTAACTAATGTCATACAGAGCAGTGGTCAATAGGCGTGCAGCAGGCGCTTAATTAACCCTGGCTCTCCTGGATAGTAAGTCAGATGCCCTCATTAAGCAGCATGCTATACGCAGAGTTCAGGGAACTCGTGTGGGGACAGAAGGCTGCGATGACGTCCCCAGGGACCCTCCCTGTTGCAAACCAAGAGCACTGCATACGCTTGTGTTTTCATCCTTTTGCCTTGATTTTCAATCTGGCATCACTGAAAGATTCCCAGGTCAAGTGGTTTTGTGTTCCAGTTGCCCCCTCAGACCCTGAAGGGATCTTTTCTCCTTATGGTGAATGTTGTACCCTAAAAGTTCCTTCCCTTTCCCACTCTCTCCTCTCCCTGTTACTCTCACTCTCCCAGTCATACCCACCTCTCCCTCCTTGCAGCCTCTAGCACAGCTGCTCAGCACCTTGCTGTGCTGCTTATAAGCCCGTTAGTATCCTTCCCAAGGATGTGGCCCTTCAGTGACCAGGTGTGATCTCCCTGGCTCTGGGGACAGGGCTCCATGATGGGATGTATCTGCAGCATCGGGGCTAGAGGGTCACAGGAGCACAAGAGGTACAGGGGTTGAAGCAGGGAGGAGGGAAACAAATGATCTGTGATGATGAATTACTGACAGTTTCCAGCACTGGGTGACCCTATGGGCTCAGCTCTCGCCCATCACACCAAGTGGTGACATCCTGGCTGCCACAGCAGTCCCCTCCTGCAGCTAGGACTGACTGTGTGGGGTGTAAGGGTGGCCCCTCTGGTAATGAGCTCCCACAGCCTGGCTCTAAGTGCACTTTCCACCAGGTGCCAGTGAGGAAACACACAGAAAAACCGAAAATGACCTCTTGAAAAACAAAATAGCACATTGGTTTTGATTGGTTTTAGTTGAGTGCTTTTAACAACCCATTTCCCTCCTCCCTGTGCACCCTCCTGGGGCTGCAGAGCTAGTTTTCTATGGGAGCTGGCCCAGTGTTGGAGCTGGGATGCTGCTGGGGACTGGTGCCCACGGGGTCTCACAGCATCTCTTGGGGCAGGTCTCACTGGATTTTGTGCGGAGCGGCAGCTACGAGCTGGAGCGGATGGGGGTGCCCTACCCTGCACAGGCACACACCAGGTCCCCCTTTGACCCGGACAACCAGCGAGTGAAGGGCATCTACTGAGCATGGGGCCGGCGAGCGGGGCTGCGGCTACAGTGGGACAGGAAGATGCCATTGGAAGCTGCTGGCTGGATTCCCGGCCCCTGTTGCCCCAGGTGGCCACAGAATCTGCTGGGAGAGCCGGGGAATTGCCTGCAGCGAGCTCGTCAACCAGAATTAGGTCAAATGATTGGGGAAAATGAGGAAGAGATGCCAGAAAGTCCTAAGATGTTGTTGCTCTGTTTTCTAAATGAAGCAGTACCACTAAAGCAATAATTCTTTTCCTTGGGTTAAGTGGCCTGAAAACAACGTTTTGCTCGACTGCAACTGAAGTGGTTTCAATTTTTGACTTTGCTGGAAACTCTTTGCCTCAAAATGTAGTTTCACGCTGTCTGGAAATGGATTTTTTAAGCTAACTCCTGTTAATACAGCTGTAGCCTCCAACGCTGCCATCCCGCTGGTCCCTTCCTGCCTCAGTCCCTGTTCAGAAGTGTCACCTGCCCTGGCTGTGCCCAGGGGACCGGAGCTGGGGTGGGAGCACTCTGGGGTTGTGGAGGGAAGGGGCAGGAGGCCCAGGGACACTCACATGGGGAGGCTGTGCCTGCTGCAGGGGTGTTCCACACTGTGAAGCTGTTGCCTTTACCCAGGGGGTTCCAGGTGTGTTTTTCCCATCTCCACAAGCACAGGTTTGTCTCCGTCCCAGTCACAGCTGCAGCTTCAGCTCCTGCTCTGGCAAAATGCTCCTCTGTGGCTCCAAAGCTCAGAGCAAGTTTAAGCACCAAGCTCTGCTGCTTCCAGTGGTAGTCAGCACCTTTAAGGAATGGAGCCTGGGGTTTGGAACGTGCAGTGCCCGCCTCGGGTTTGGTGGTGGTGCCCCAGCACCGTCTCGGTGTGCGCTGGCTGTGCTGGAGGATCCATCTCCAGGTCTGAACCTTGACCTTGTCCTTCTGTGGGAGCAAAGGCAGGTCCCGGTTTTCAGCTGTGGGGATGGGGCCGTGTTGGTGCTTGGGAGTCCCTGGGTCTGAGATGAGCAGAGCACAGCGATGCTGTGCAGCCCTTGGACTGGGGAGAGGCTCTGGTGCTGTGCCCCAGAGAGTGAAAGACACTCCCGAGGGCGAGTGCTCTTGGAATCTGGGTCCTTGGTCTCTGCTGAAGCTTTTACCTGCCTGAAGAAATAATCACACTGCATGCTTTTCACTTTATTTCCCTTGACTAGGTTTGCTTGGTTTATAACCTCTTTAGAGCTGATTTCAGTTCCTCGGCTTCATGCAACGAGTGCCATGGGCAAGAGCTGGAATTTTCAACTGCTTTGGTTTTATTGGGAACATTGAAAAACGAGTTTGAGGTGAATTTTTCTCTGGACAGGAGGTGGTTGCACCCCCTGATCCTGCCCTGGTGGAGAGCAGAGGAGGTGGCCCCTGTCCTGACGGATTGTCCTGGGGGATAAATGAGGGACCGAGCACGCTGCCTCCCTGCCAGGGACCCACTGCCTGCCTGCCAGGACCAGGTTTGCTTCAGGTTTTCCCCCCTGTTCTAACCCAAGATCTCCCTTACCCCAAGGTGGCCGGGAGGGGAGGGCTCAACTTCGGCCTGCCCTGGATCACCACATCCCAGTGCAGCAAGGGGCAGGCGCCCAGCCAGGACCTGTGGGCTCCGTGCAGCACCAATGGGCTTTCCTCAGCTTCTCCCAAGCAGCTTCCCCTTTGAGCTCAACAGCAAAGCACAATTTCTAGGTTGGTTGGGTTTTTTTGTTTTTTTTTAGTTACATGTTTAATGGAGTTGTTTTTCCTGCAGAAAGGTTTCATACACACACACACACACACACACACACCCCTCCCTGTGTCCCTCCTCCCCATCCCTTCTCCTTTCTAACCCCACCACAGAGGTATCATTTGTTCCCAGCCATTGGCATCTGGTGGCATCAAGACAAATCATCCCCAGCGCCGGGGAGCAGGAGGAGAAGCGTGGCAGGGAGCTTGGTCCCTGCAGCAGGGAGGTGAGTGCTGGGGGCTGTCACAGCATCCCTCCCTCCATCCTCCTGCCCTGCTCCAGGTGCCAGTGTGGGAGCGTGCCCATGGAGCCACCCTGGGCTAGACAGGACCGTGGGGCGCTGGGGAGGCTTGTGTGCTGCTCCCACACAGCTCTGTGCTCTGTGCCTCAGTTTCTCTGCAGGAAAACAGGCTTTTCCCCGCTCCCCAGGGCCGCGCTGGGTTCGGCACAATAGCAAACCTCCACGTTATTATTCTGGGGGCGGAAAGCAGCATTACTCAGAGCCAGGATTGCTAATAACACACTAAATATAGCGCCTTCCATCTCCAGAGTACATTCTGAACTCGAGCTCATGAGCCCTAACCCCCTCCTGAGGCAGGGGCCAGGGCACCAGCAGCACTCCTGTGTGGGCAGGGAGCCGGGAGAGCAACAGGACAACGGCCCCGTGGATGCTCCCCATGGAATGGAAGGAGCAGACCCCGGGTCAGTCCCTCCTGAGCTTGCCCAGGTCGAGGGGGATGGGGGCTGCAGGCCGAGGCCCAGGGGCGGGCGGGCAGTGTGGGACCGGCTCCTGCAGCCTCTCGGTGATGGTGGGAAGCGGCTGCTTCTCCCACTCGCCCTGCAAGAGAGTTCAGCACCGTGAGACCGAGCCGGGGCTTTGGTACTTGAGAGTCCGTATTTGTCCCTAATGTAAAAATGATCTTTGACACTTCAGGGGTTTCTCACCCAAACCAGGATGTTTTCTTATGAGATGTTACTAATTTATCTATATTGTAGAAGCACCTACACCTCCCCTCAGCAGGTCAGACATCTGCAGTGCACCGCGTAGTGCAAACCCACCACGCTTAGAGAGCTTCCACCCCAGGAAGTGTTACCCACCAAAGCAGATGGAGGCACCTCAAACCATGGATGGCACTGAGCCTCAGGATGCAGCAGCCTGGTGAGGTGCCACGGGGCTGTCACAGCCATCAGGGCTCAAGGCAACCACAGCTGGGCCAAATGCCCTGCTCTGTGTGTGCATGAGGGCATCTCGTCCTGGTGATGCTCCCCGCAAGGAGCAATCTGCCAGGGCCAGACAGTGCCGAGAGCTGAGCACCCGGGCAGGATCTAGCCCAGATGTTGTGTGCTGGTCCAGGTTGGTGGCTGGCTGAGGGGCTGGGAGGGCACCGCTGCCTCGGAGTGGGCTCTGGTTCGGTGATGCCAGGTTTTGGCTGTGCCGCAGTGTGAGCAGGAGAGTGGGTTCTGCATGGGGGGTGAGAGCCGTGAGTCACAGCAAGAGGGAAGCTGAAGCTGTGTTCAGATGAAATGTCTCATTGCATGGCAAGTGAAACCCTGGGAAAAGTGGAGGGTGGTGGGCTCACGGGGGTGACTGGAGAGGGGACATCACTGCAGGGGACCATGGGCTGGAGAAACAACTGTTTTCCTGCACCCTTATTGCTTAAAAGAGCAGTTAATGGTGTTCAGGGAGAGCCTGCTCCAGTTCTGGGCCCCAGCCTGAGCCTGCCATCTGCCCTGCCAATGCATCCAAACCCTGTTCTCACCTCTTGCCGGCCCTTGGGGTAGGTCAGAGGTGTTTAGAGTGTCTTTACAGTTGCTTTCAGTGCTTTTGAGTGGAAATCCGAATGTAGAGAGTACAGAGAGCTCACTGCAAGCCCTTGTAGGTGCAGGAGACTCGGGGACAGCAAAGTCCCTGCAGCCACTCACAAGTGTTACCCTGAGATTTTGCTCAGTAATGAACAGCACTCGATCCTGCCAGAAATCTCCTCGGATTTGGGATCGCTGAGCTGCAAACCCGCGAGCTTAATTAGAGCCGGTGCTTTTCTCTTGGCAGAAGCAGCGTGGAATAAATGAGATGTCTTAAAGTGGGGCTGGCTCTGAGCACGCCGGCAGAGCAGGAGGGGCAGCTCGGATCCTTCGCCCTCGCTGCGATGCTCCTGACCCAATTTGTGTTGGCATCAGCTCTGCTCCTCTCAAGTTGCTTCCCAGCCCCCCCCCCCCCCCAGCCTCTCTGAAGTCAGGAGCCGTGTCTGGGCCATAATTAAGAGGCTTAACTCATAATTCTGCTGCTGCACACGGCTTCTGCACTTGTCTTTCTCTGCAGCGGAGCTCTACACGGCCAAGAGGTGCAGGGTCTCCAGCGCCTGGGTTCTGGGAAAGGGTTCCAAGGGACTCAAAAGGTTTCTGCCCCTTCAAGCAGACTTTGCCAAAGGGGATTTACCAGGGCAGAAAGCTGATAATCTGATACAATCAGCTCCTCATCCTCCAGTGCTGCAGTGGATAGCACTGGATGCAGAAGTACCATATCACCTAAGTTTGTTACACTGATGAATGGTGCTGGGAACTGATGTTGGTAGGGACCATCACTGGTTTTAAATGCTCACCACCGTCATTGTTGTGGCCATCACTGCTGGGCCTGGTTTACATTTAAGGATCTCACAGCCCTTTATCCCTCACGTTCTGTATGGCTGCTGCGTTCGGAGGCTGCACAGATGCTGTGAGTGATGTGCTCGCTCTGCTGGGCCCTGATGTGCTTTGCCAGAACCCTAAAACCCACCCTGTGCTTCTCCTTGGTTCTGGAGCCAGCCCTGCTGAAATGCTCAGCAGCCTCCAAACCGCCTCAGGCAAAGGCAGCTCTGACTGGGCCTGGCTGGGCACAGCCATGGTGGCTCTGGCCAGGTTCTTCTAAGCACCAGTGGTGGGCTCGGTGTCCCACTGCCACCAGCGTTCCCTGAGCAGCTCCAGCTCCCTGCCCTGAGCCCGCTGGGGTCAGCCTTGTCCTCAGCTTTTAAAAGCTGCCTTTTACCTGCGCTGGGATGTGCTCTGTGGGGCTCCCTGTAACACCATACATACCGGGAACCGGACAGCAGAGGACTTGTTGCAGTGCATTGAGATCGGAGCAAAGCTGTAGAGGGATTTCAGCACATCCCTGTTGAACGTGTTCCAGGGGACGGAGTAAAACTGCTGGGGGACAGAGACCTGCGGACACGTGCACACCTCCTCGTCGTTAAACCTGAAGGTAGGAGAAATGCAACCCTGAGAGGCAGCGGTGCTGTCCCCTGTCAGCACTGGATGTGTCAAGTTCTCCCTGCTTAAAGCTCAGCCTGGAACAGCTCCAAAGCTGTGTTGGAAGCAAGGAGAGCTCAGCACAGCGGCAGCTCCATGGGGGGATCTGGGACTGCATGTGAGCAGGACACCAGTGCGAGGGCAGCATCTCGCACCCTGCCCTGTGGGTGAGTGAGCTGCAGCCTGCTTCCCTGGTAGGGATGCTTGGAGTCTGCCTTGGGTTACAACAAGTACTTTGCACGCACTGACACTTGCTGGGAAGTCTCTTCCTGGGAATGCT